GCCTGAATGAGGAGCAGTGGGGAGCTCCTTTAGGGGAACTGACTCTAGGGCTAACTTTTTAGGTCCACAGTGATTTTCCTCAACCCCAAGCTGTTAGGGGTTTGCCTACTCTGTCAAGTTGATGAGGGAACTGGGGATAGAGGATCAGGTGGGGAGGCTGAGCCCTGCCTACCCTATGCCCATCATTTTTGTTCCCCTCCCCCCACCCTGCAGGCTCCTCCACTGTTGACTTGCTCATCTACCAGACCCTGTGCTACACTCACGATGAACTGAGAGAAGTAGATGTGGGGGACTTTGTGCTCAAGCCCTGTGGACTGGAGGAGTTCTTACAGAAGTGAGTGAATGGGGTGTGTGTAGGTGGGGTGAAGGCAGCACCTGCCTTCTGGGTGGGAGGGTTTTGAGAGGTCTCAGGCTTAGGGCTGGCAGCTCCACCCCCACCACACAGTCAGGACTCCTGCTTTCTGGGCGTGTTCCCAGCCATGGCCACGTCTCACTTTCTCCAGGAGCTTTGTCTTCCAGCAGGGTTGGCTGGCTTCTGAGCCAAAGCTGCTGTGGAAAGAGCTTGGAGCTGGGATTAGGCAAAGACGAGGTCATATCTGTGTGCAGACTTCTGCTTGCCGAGAGATGTGTGCACTTGGGAGAGCTAGGGGGACTGTGATGGGCTGTTTTTCCTGCTCTAGCAGATGTATGGTGTCTTTGTGGCTGGGGGCAGCAGAACAGAGCAGAAGTGTCCATGTGGAACCTAGAGGAGAAATTACAATTCCTCTTTTTCCTTCCTTCCCTGGCCAACATGGCTTTTCCCTTGCTGGCTTGTGCAGCTGGTTATCCTCCTCCCAGAGTCTGGCTTCCAGCTCCTCTCCAGCTAGTGCCCTCTGCAGAAGGCAGCCTCCCTGGAAAGTGTGATGTGGACCTGCTGAGGCAGCCTTCTTTCTGCTGCCCTGAGGCTCTGGAGGGCTGGGGTGGAAGAGAGGTAGGGTGAGGTTCCCACCCCTCAGGGGGTATGTGTGACAGCAGACAGATCTGTGATCAACCTTCCTCCCTAAAGCTTCCAGTTGACTTCTGCCCTCTACCTCTGGCCACCTGGAGGAAGTAGGCCTTAGGAAAGGAGAAAGGCAGGGCCTGCACCTAACCTTCTTAGCAATGCCCAATAAATTCTACCACACTTGCATGCAGGTCTAGATGCAAGGAGGGTTGCCTATGGCTAGAGCACAGAATTGGCAGGCAGAACTGAAGATTTATATCTCGGCTGATTTATTCAGTGTTAGGGATAATGGACCCGGGTCTCAGTCTGGAAACTGAGGGAAAGAAAAGAGCAGACTCTATAGGGTACAAACCCAGGCAACTTCAAATGTGCCCCAGGTGTTATGTTTTTGCTTTCCCTAGAGGAACGGGGTGGTCCTAGATGCAAGGTCTCCTGGCAGCAAGAGCCCTGGACAGCCAACCCTTCTGACAGTTAAAAGGGATGAGGGACACAGTAGACAAATTAGACTCCTAGTAACACCATTACACTGCCACTTACTAGCCTGATCCTCAGTCTCCTCTGTAAAGAATGGTGAGGATTTACATTGGGGGTATAGCCCAGTGGTAGAGGTGAGGCATTTAATTGAGGTCTAGCATGGATGAGGCCCTGGGTTCCATCTCAAGTGAGGCCAAAAAAATAAAGAGGAGGGTCGAGTATGAAAAGGACCCAATGAGCAGTCAGTGTATACCTGCAGGGGAGGACCAGCTAAGACAGAAGACTCATGGGCTCTGGATTGGAAAGATGGCACATTTCCCCTGCAGTACTCATAGTCTGGGAGCCCTCAAGACCAGAGGAAGTGGAGCTGTTAGGTTCTGCCTTCTTGGCAAGGCCCAGATGGAGAGTTCCCAGTGAGGTGGGACAGGGTCAGTGGTCCTTGGGTCATGCCCCCTTCCCAACTTCTGACCTGTACACAGTCTTCCACAGAGAAGGTCAAGCAAGCCCCTTGGGAACCTGTGGCCAGGAGGCCCTCCCATCCCACCTAAAAGTGTAGTGCTGTTTCCTGGGTGGGAACTGCTAATTCCTGAGGGAGCCCTCAGGATTCCTAACCCCGCCTGGCCAGAGGGACTGATACTGAAGGGGCATGTTTGTTCAGGATGCAGGCTGCTCTCCGATAAGAACCTTGAGACACTCTTGGGGTAGGGCTGGGTTTCCTGCTACCTCCCCCACCCACACCACACTCTTCCTTCCTCCCAGACTCTCCCGCCAGGGTCTGCCCCACAGCCTAGCCTCTCCACCCTCAGACTTTGTCTACACTTTAATCTTACCAGTTCAGGGCCCAGATTGGTGGCCTGGTTCCCTCAAGATGTAGAGAACGCCCCAAGTTCTAGCTGGATCTGGACTGGCCTAGGGCCCTGCACCTCCACCAGCTTCTGCACATCCCCCTTCTGTTTGTTTTCCTCCCCTCCCCTCCATTTCTGGCCTAGATTCCCAGCTCTGCTGAGGAAGGAAGTCCGTTTCCGGCTTCTGTTACCCAGCTGGGACTTGGCCCAGGCCCTTAGTGCTGGCCTGGAGGTGGGACTCACTCTGCCCCTTTTCTTGGGTTTCCTTTCTGATTAAGGTGTGATTTGGGGGAGAGGAAAAGGCTGCCATGGCAAAAGGACTCTGCCTAGGCCTCCTTCTCTGCGCTGGGGGTCTCTCCTGCAGGTTCTGAGCAATGGGAATGGCACATGCCTTTTAGGAAATCTGTAGAGATTTGTGCGTAATTCACAATTAGGCAGGACCCGCAGAGGGAAGGGAGAAACAGACCTTGGATGAGGATAACAGATCTGGGATCTCGGTGGTTTTGCTTGGTTGGTCCTCAGCATCCTAGCTGGTAACGTGGAAAGAAGGTGGGAAGACCAGTGCCTGGATGTAGGCTGACTCCCCAAATGTCTCCTCTTGGATGTCCCCTATGTCAAAGCCAAGAGAGTAGTATTTAAACAACTTTCCCATGAAAAGTTGTTCCCCACCCTGGGAATCAACCGGTGATAACCACATAGGTAATAAATACCTGGAAGAGTCAATATTTGTACAGCCCAAGAGTTAAGTGTTATAGGTAGCTTTTGTTTAAATAGATCCTTGTACCTTCCCCCAAGTTCTACCATGACATTTCGCAGGAACTCAGGGTAGGGGCTGCAACACAGGTCCTACCTCCCCCCATCTTCTTCCAGGTTCTCTCTCCCCAAGACTAAGGGATGCATCTCTTTTCCCACTGAGCCCCCAGAATGCTAATAGTCTTGTCCCCCCTACTTCCCCAGCAAGCATGCCTTGGGCAGCCATGAGTATATCCAATACTGCCGAAAGTTTGACATCGACATCCGACTACAGCTGATGGAGCAGAGTGCTGTACGCAGTGACCTGGCCCGGACGGTTCGTGTTGGGGGTAGTTGACAGTTGCACAGAGCTGGGGGTGGAGTGGGTGACATGACACATGTTAGGTGGGAGTGGGGTAGGAGTGCTGGGCTGAGAAAAGGGCACCAACCCTCCCTGAATAGGGCACTGTTCACACAGGTGAATGATGATCAGAGCCCCTCCACCTTAAACTACCTCATCCATCTACAAGAGAGGCCAGTCAAGCAGACCATCAGCAGGTGAGAGTGGGTACCATCTTAGTGTGGTTCAAACAGGCACTGTGAGGGGATGCAACAGACACTCTTGCCTGATTTCCTGCTAGGGTGAGAGATTCCTTCAGGTGTCTGGGGTTGAAGCCCAAGAGTCTTAACAGGGCATGCTTCTCCTCTTCCCTCTTTTACTTTGCTATCATTCTTTAGGAAGGAGGTGGTGAGGCAGAAAGGATGACTTCTGTCTTCACAGGGCATGGACAGAGTGGAAACCCCTTGAAATGAAAGTCTGATCCCTGAGCAGAGGAGAGGGAGGGAAAGAATGTGTTAGGTTAGGGTCCTGGGTCTTTTGTGACCTCTCCTGTGATTTGTCTCTTTCCCCCACTCCCAGGCAGGCCCTGAGTCTTCTGTTTGACACTTACCACAATGAGGTGGATGCCTTCCAGCTGGCTGACGTGAGTACACAACCTGGGGCTGGCCAGGGAGCTCCCTTCCTCTTCCACAGACTTCCTGGGATTCACCAGCACCATGAGGGATCTGGGTAGAGCTGACAGCCCAAAAGCAAAGAACTTCTTTTCATCCTCTTAGCTTGGAGGCAGGCAAGGCCACTATTGGCTGTGGAGCAGATGCCAAGTGTGCAGAAGAGGTTCTGCTCCTCTGTAGAAGTAGTAGGTCAGGAAGCTGATCTCTGTCTTTGAAGTAGAGCGTCTCTCCAGCTCTTGCATTTGAATGTGCAACTGCAAGTGTGTCCTGTGAGCAATGCCCAGGAACTTCTGACCTGAGAGCTTCTATTGAACTGGTATCCTAGGTTAAAAAAGGCTCTAAGGAGTTAGAAGGTCCCAAATCTATGGGGTGGCTGACTCCCTTTCCACTTGTACTCGCATGGAACCTCAAATCTTGAAACCAAATGTTATAAATTGCTCAAATGTTATAAAGCCAGAACAAATCTCTTTTGAAGTAATCTTCAATAACAGTCCCTGTCTTTTTTTTTTTTTTTTTTTTTTTTCTGTGCTGGGACGTATACCTCAAGCCCCTTTTTTGTGATGGGATTTTTTGAGATAGGGTCTTGCAAACTATTTGCCTGGGCTGGCTTTAAACCTCTGTCCCCCTGATCTCTGCCTTCTGAGTAGCCTGGATTACAAGTGTGAGCCACTGGCACCCAGCAACCCCTGTGTCTTGATTCAGTTAGTAATCATGGTTTCTTCCCTTCTGGGGAATTGGGCATTGTGTATAGCTCATCCTTTATCCACTGCCAGAATCCCTTCTTTAGAGGCCTATGCTTGAACATGTGCTGTGACAAGGAGAGAATTCTCTGACCATCCATTCTGTGATAGTCTGGCCCTATACTGCTGGAGTGGAGAAATTTAAGAATTGTTTTAGCCTCTGGGGAGCTTGTGTAGTTAGAGAAGTGGAATAGTAACCTAAAGCTATTAGATAGAAGAGGAGGGTAATAAGCTAAGGAAGGGCTCCTGGAGGGAGCTGGCAAGGGGCACAGTCAGGGAAAGCTTTGTGAAGGAGGTAGGATTTTACCTGGTCTTTGATTTAATTCACCCAGGTAATCAGGACCAGACAGGAGAAGAAATAAGAAAACTATGGGAACCAGAGTGCAAAGGGGCGGGTAGAGTGTCTATGGAAGTAAGATGAGGTAGGGAAGCCCTGGCAGGGTTTCTCTGGCCTCCTAACTCTTCCCTATTAGGTTGATTTTCTTACATTGAAGGCCTCTGGGGAAAAACCTTGGTGTGTTTGTGTAGCAGAAGTGGACTGTTACGGACAGATGGAGGCTGGGAATAAGAAACAGTTTGAGGGGAGAATGGCTGAAAGAATTGGGAATGGGCCACGGCCCATTTAACTTAGAGTCAGACATTGTATGCAGATGCTGGGTTTTGAAAATAAACATGGATTTTATGAATTCTTCCTTAGGGTCATTAACCCTTATACTTCCCAACTCATTCCTTTAAAGACTGGGAGTGGAGGGAGGGCGAAAGAATTGGAGGCCAAGAACACAGAGCAGAGCCAGCCAGCCTCACTGTGCAGCCTCCTACAGGTGGACTTCCTGCTGAAGGCCGACAGGGTAGTCCAGTCTGTCAAGGCCATCTGCAATGCCCTTGCTGCAGTGGAAACCCCAGAGATCACCAGCGCTCTCAACCAGCTGCCCCCCTGCCCCTCGCGCATGCAGCCAAAAATCCAGAAGGTAAAGGGCTCAAGCATTAGGTGGGGAAGCAGAGCATTCACAGGTAATGCTGCTGGTTACTGGGTGATTAGGTGTGCACTTACTAAAGTCTTCTCTCCGCTTCCATCTTTTATGTTAAGGTAGCTCAAACCCAAGAGTTCCTGGAGAATGAGAGGCCAGTGTGGGCTAGGGCCTGCCTCCTGGACTGACTGTGTGAGCCTGGGCCAGAAAAACTTTATTCACAGTCACCAAGGCATTGCCTGACACTTTGCTTCTCTATCAGGGTGCAAAACCAAACCAGGAGAAAAATCTCCCAGAGCCAGGGACTTGGTGATACCACAGTAGGGACTGTGGGCTCTGCAGATGGGGCCAGCACCACAGGCCCTGTGATCCCCGACTGAGGGGTGGGGGCTGGGCTCTATCATTAGAATGGATGTGATGATGATTCTTAGGCCACCAGCTTACTCTGTCCATCACAGGGGCTCTGGTACAAACCATTACTCCACCTCCCCGGGGAATCTCTGCTCCTCATATTTCAGCCCAGTTCAGCCAGATGAGCACAGCTGTGAAAAACCCTTCCTCCAGCTGTGATGGAAAAGGCTATGCCTCTATAGCTCGCGCCTCTTCTTTTTCCCCAACAGGATCCTAGCGTCTTGGCTGTGAGGGAAAACCGAGGTAAGGGAACTGTGCTGTCTGTCTGGGAGGGGCAGCCCTAACAACTGCCAATGTGGCGCAGATTCCTTTTCCTCCTCCGTCCCCTCGATTTATGTGTCTGAGTTTGCTGTGTGCATGCATGCGTATGTGTGCGTGTGTGTATGTATGTTTCCCTATGAGGTGTGAACACACCTGGAGCCCACATTTCTTTCCACAGATTGTTTTCTCCTTATTCTTGCGAGTCAGGTGGTGTCACTGGGAGAGAGTGACGAGGTGGTGGGAGTGGGGGAGTGGAAAGTGAAGCAGAGTTGGCCTTCCTATCCAGATGAGAAAACACACACTTGGAGGTTGTGATTCTTCTCTGCACAGCTCACAATCCCTATCCCTTATTTAGAATGGACCTTGGGAGATGGCAAGAAACGACTTCGCACCAAGATTTCTCTGAGAGTCCCCTATTGAGACCTTTAAGTACAACTTTGCCCTAAAAGCCTGTATCGCGGGGATTCTTACAGTGACTCCTAGTCTTTTGGATTTCATGGACCAATAAAATGTCTCTGAAAGTACAGAATTGCCACCTCCCCCATCCCCTCACCCCCCTCCTGCCTCTGCTGGTGCTGGGTATGAAACCTAGTACCTTGTACATGCTAGGAAGGTAGTCTACCACCAGCAGCCCTGCCAGCTTGGCAAGAAATGACTTTGTTGTTTTTTTTTTTTAAATAACTGGCAATAACTATAATTACCTAAAAGAAAGAACATTTTAACACTAAATAAGTAGCCACATGTAAAACCGAGTATCACATGAAAAGTTCAAGACACACCCTGCTTTTTTCCTATTTCATCCACTGAAATGGCCATTAGAAACTAGCTGCCATTTAGGGACCACTGTCCTAGGCATCCCATCCTGACCAGTACCATGGCAACATGAGGCCTCATCCTTTCGCAGAGAAGATCGTGGAAGCCTGACAGCAGCCATCTTGGACCTGGTGGAACTCTACTGCAACACGTTCAATGCAGACTTCCAGACATCAGTGCCCGGGAGCCGCAAGCATGATCTGGTCCAGGAGGCCTGCCATTTCTCAGGGGCACTAGCCTTCACTGTCTATGCCACTCACCGCATCCCCATCATCTGGGTTACCAGGTGAGGTAGGGCTGAGTTGCCTCTAGAGAGCTAGCTGAATCTGACTTCTTCCCCTTTGGCACGTGACCTCACTGTCTCTGGTGTGGATTTGTGGTGTTACAAGGTTGAGGGTGTGAGCCAGTTGCTTGAAGAGAGCCCAGGCTGGGACATCTCTGAGAGAGAAGGTCCCATTGGAAATGGGGAAGCAGCTGCCACCCCCTCTGTGCTGGCTGCCTCAGCATCCCTGCCCCCTCCAGATCCAAGGCCAGCTGAAAGAGACATGCGACAGATGGCTAGTTCCCAGATAGAGTGTGCCCCACGGCCAATGACTGCACTCCCCTGCAGAGGCACAATGGGAGGGGTGGGGAGGTGGGGGTGACTCTTTCTTTGTCTGGGGTTCCCTAGGCTTGTGGTGGTGGGTGGAGGAGGATGTTCATTTGGTAATCCTCAGCTCCTCTGCTGGGTCCCCAGATCTAGGGCCCCGGGGAATAGACACTTGGCCCCACCCCACCTTCCCAACCCCCTCCTCCTCTTCTCCTTTCCCCTTCTTTCTTTGTTCCTTACTTAATGTATTCCTCTGGGCTATTGGCAGAGAACAAAGCAGGCAGCCTGGGAAACCAGGGCCTTCTCTGACCTCTTCTGTCAGGCACCTGTCATGAGCCACAGGGACCCCCATGTGTTGGCATTCATGGTGGCATATGTCGTTTTTCTCCCCCACTCTCCTTGTCTGGTGCATGCGCGTGTGTGCGAGTGTTCGTGTGTGTGCATGTGCATAGGCTGTCAAGGGCTATAGCTGACTGAAGAGGAGGTTGGATGGCCATTCCTGTAAAAGGATGAAAACCTCCTAGCTCAGCATGGAGCCTAAAACCCTGCAGGACAAGGGATCTAGACTGAGTTGCTGCTCCCTGAGCACACTTCCTTAAATCCAACTTGGTTGTGCTGCTCCCAACCCCATGTTACAATCTCCAGAGATCCAGAGCAATTCCACCAGGGGGAAATGGAGTTTGTCAATAGGAGGAGGCAAAGATCCAGGTGACTGAAATTGGTTATAGGGGCTGAATGCCATGACCTGCTCCCTTTGTTTTGTAGCTATGAAGATTTCTACCTCTCCTGCTCCCTTAGCCACGGCGGCAAGGAGTTGTGCAGCCCCCTGCAGACGCGAAAGGCTCAGTTCTCCAAGTACCTATTCCACCTCATCATCTGGGACCAGCAGTAAGCCCTTCCCCAGGGATGTACCTGTCATCCATGGGAATGCCGCCAGGGCAGATAACCAGACCTGACCTAGGAGCACAAGCTTGGGTTAAACCAGGCTCCATCGGTAACCCTAACCAGACTCACCTTCTTGAGTCTCCTCTTCTATGACTCTTAAATGGGGACAAGCATAATTTCTACCTCTCAAGTTGGTAGGAGGATCCAATGAAAAGTATCCATAAAGTCTCTGTAATCTGTAAAAGACCATGTAAGTGTTACTTGTTAATTTTAAATACCTCATTCTTTTGATCTTGTCTGTCTTAAAGAGTTTAACTAGTCTGGGGAAATTCCATCTTCTCCCTTCTTTCCAAAGTTCCCTTAGGACAGGATAGTTTCAGTAGATGTCCCTTACCAAAAGAGCAGGGAGGGCTAGCTAGAGAAAGGAACAGTGGACTGGATGTGGAACCAAGCAGTAAGGTTCTTTTTCTCGTTCTGTCTCTAATCCTCTGTTCTCTCTAGCCTCTCTGTGTCTTAGTTTCTCAAATGGAGAAATGGGGACATTTGTTTAACTTGGAGGCAGTTGTAGCACTGAAGTGAGATAGGCAGGTTATAAATATGAAATCACAAACACAATATAATATCAATCACCATTTATGAACAATAATATATCAGGAAGGTAAGCGTCAGCCCAGCCAAGCCTAAAGGGAACAGAAGTGAGGAGGACTTGAATGGTGGCATGGCAGGTGTTTGCCTGCCCTGTGTTTTCTCTGTGCTGCTCTCCCTCTGCCCTTCAGTCAGAAAACCCCTTCACTTCCCCAGACCCACTGTATCTGGGTCCTCATTTGCAGAGCAGCAAATCCAATTTAAGTGTTTGGAGTACAGATTAAAGAGAATGAGAAGGGTCCTTGGAGAGGCCAAGGATGCCCAAATAGGTAGACAGAGTCTGTGAATGCTGGGAAGGGTGGATCATCCTACAGATGGACAACTGGGGCGAGAGACCCTTTCTCCTGTCCTTCAGATTTAGGTAATTCTTAGAGCAGTAACAGTGAACCACTGCCAGTAATGCAAACTGCTGCTGGGGCAGAGAAACTCTTTGGAGACAGAGACAGTTTCATTAGATGGCCCGGAGTTTCACTGTCTCCCTGGGATTCTTTGGCCTCAACTATTGCTACTGTCCAGGGAAGGGGTGATATATAGTGTTCTGGTCTAGGAGTACCCCAGGAAATTGGCCTTAGATCCTTTTCCCAGATAGAATCAGAAAAACCGAATCAACTCAGGCTGCCCATGGGTCTGAAATCTCTCCTTGAATCTTTGAATCCTGCATTGTAGAGCCTCTTGGACGGCATGGTCTCAGCACTACCCACCCAATGTCCCAAGTGAGAACGCTTGGCCCTTCTTAGTCAAGGCCATGGCACATGGGAGAAGACACTGTACTGTGGGGTTCAGGACACAGACTTTGGGGCAGCTCTCCTTTTCTTCTTACTGTACATGCCCCGTTGGGTGGTCATTCAACCTGAATGGAGATACAGATAGGGCTACTCTACAGTATTGTTGGAGGAGCAGTTAGGAAACTATAAGTAAAGTATTTGGCACAGGCCCTAGTGCATGTTAAATGCTTTCTTTTTCATTATCTTTGTCTTCTTAGCTGGAGGGCCCTCTCAGTTCCAGTTTCTCCGTTCTAGATGGTTGACAAAGTGACTGATGCATGAGGATGTTTGTGCGTGAAAATATTCTATGCTGCCCAGTTTCAGTGCAGTAACCACAGTGTCAGATAGCAAAATACAGACAGTGTATACACACACCACGTGAGAGAAGCTGTACTTCCTCTTCCCTCATGAGGACTCTGAGGTGCAAGGGTGTGAGTTCACTTGTCTAAGGTTATGAGTGACAGCCAGTGCTGGACCCTAGCACATTCTGGGAATCCTGTGGTGTGATGTTGAAGAATGGGTGGTAGGAAGGGTGGAAAATCAGGTCTGCAGCTGACAGTGGTTCTCCTGACCAAAGTCCATGGCAGAGGTTTCTCAATCTTATAGTCTCAGTTAGAAAGTCTCCTCACTCTGGGCTGGAGGTGTGGCTCAAGCAGTAGAGTACCTGTTTAGCAAATACAAAGTCCTGAGTTCAAACCTCAGTACCACCAAAAAAAAAAAATGTCTTCCCACTCCCTTTTACCTTTCAGCCATGATGCTGGGAGGAAGGGGGTCCCTGTCCCCCTGGCTGTAGGGTCACCTGATTCTCTCCTACTGCAGCAGGATAGGGCTCATCTCGCTCTCAAAATAGGCCCATCAGCCGTGCTTTGTCACCTCTAGCCAAGCCTGACCTGGTATGTCCGCTGGCTGCTGGAGGGGCCCTAATTATAGCCATGGTCCTCCCAGGGTAGGGGCAGCTGGGACAGAGCAGGGCTGTGCTAGTCTGTGACTGGCTGGCCGAGTGCCTCCCTTAGGTGGAGATTCCCCCTAGGAGTGAGGGGCAACTGGTAAAGGGAGGCTGCTTTATCTAAAACTGCTGACCTTGGGGGTGGCTGCCCTGTGTCTGTGCTCCTGTGCCCTGAGGGCATAGAAGCTGCTGGGCCATGGGCCAGCCAGGAGGGTGTGGCAGTGTGGACTTTGGCCCAGGGACAGCTTCCCAGAAAGGTAATGTGGGCCCTCCCTCTCTTTGCATAGCTTTTCCACCCCACAGTTCCTCATGCTGAACTTGGAGGGAGTGGTTGGCTGTACAGGGCAGGGCAGGGCAGCCTAGGGAGAACATCTGGGCTTGGGGAGTGGTCGCTGGGCGTATCAGTTCTCCTGGCCTTGCCAGGTGGCTTTCTTACCGCTTGGGAACTTTGAGAGCCCCTTCTGTTTTTCCTTTTGGCTTTGAGCTTGTTTGGGGAGAGAACAAACCATTGTGTGCCTCTGGGGCTAGGAAAAGGGACAAGTGGGAGGGCTGTCGGGGAGGGAAGCTCTATAAGTGGAGAGCAGAAAACTTTGTGCTTCTTCTTGGTGGCTCTCAGTAGGGAGAGTCCTGGGGGAGGCATGGGAACTATCAAAGGAAAGGAAGATCAATCACAGCTCACAGTATGGGACAGGTGGTCTGTCACCTGGACGCTGAGATGGCTCTGGCTGGGTGAGTTCTGCCTAGGCCCTACAGATAGCCTGGAGATTGGGATGTTGGTCTCAGTCTTCTGAGGGTCCTCAAGGACACTACAGTGATGCTGGGAGCATGCAGTGGAGGTCTTGCCTAGTTTGGGACCTACCGTGGTTCTACAGGAAGGTGTTCCCAGGAAACATATCTGACACCCAGAGAGGGTCACTGAATTCTCTGCCTCCACTTGACTTCTTGGGCTCCCTGTCCCTTGAAGTTCCTGATTTGTCTTCTTTCCTCCCTAGGATCTGCTTCCCCGTGCAGGTGAACCGACTGCCTCGGGAGACCCTGCTGTGTGTCACTCTCTATGCTCTGCCCATCCCCCCACCTGGAAGCTCCTCAGAGGCCAATAAACAACGGAGGGTGCCCGAAGCCCTGGGCTGGGTCACTACCCCACTCTTCAACTTCAGGCAGTATGTGACGCCCAGGGGAAGACTCTTGACTTGAACGGGAAGAAGGGGGAATCAAGAAAGGGGCCTGGTTGTTGCACTGGCCAGTGTCCCTCCAGAGGGTTGACCACATGGGCTCACTGGTGAAGTATAGAGACCTGAACCCTGGTAGAGAGTCCAAAGCACAGAACTAGTGACAGGACCTGTTGGTATAACTAAGAGCCACTGGGCAAAACTAGCAGCACAGTACTGGTGGTGGGGGAGGGCATGGAAAAGCTATGCTTGGGAAACATGTCATCTGGTCTTGTCACCGGAATGACCTTAGAGGTCGTTTAGCTTGGCCTCTACCTCACAAAGTCATCTCAGCCACCAAGTTGTACTGGCCAGTGAATGGTTAATGCAGACAGACCTTCTGTAGTGGGGAGATTTTTCTAGGCTTGATAGAAGGAAGAGGCCATGGTCCCTTGAGAGAATGAAAAGGAGGGGAGCTGGGTGGTGGCTTCGAACAGAAGAGGCAGACTTTTGAGTTGGGGGAGCAGTGGGTTTGTTGTCTCATCTTACCCTTCTTCTGCTTTAGAGTCCTGACCTGTGGCCGGAAACTTCTGGGCTTGTGGCCAGCAACACAGGAAAACCCCAGTGCCCGCTGGAGTGCACCTAATTTCCACCAGCCAGATAGTGTCATCCTGCAGGTGAGAACCTCCGCCCCTCCCCACCAGCCCTTCCTTCCCACCCACCCATCAAGCAACCCTAGAGTCAGCTCCAAGTTTTCCTCCCTGAGCTTTGGGCTGGAACAGTAGGAGAAAGTGGAACAGTGGGCATTGGGATGGTGATGTGACTGAGAGAATGTGGTTTGAACCAGAGTGGGAGGATGAGCTCTGCTGTGTCCATCTCCTATTTCCTAAAGGTTAACTTTGATTTCAAGGAGATTGAAGGTAAAATCTGTTTCCTTCCCTGTGTAGCTCTTGGAGCCCTTGTTTTGAACCCTCATACTTCCAAATCTGATTGAACTTGAGTTGCCCTTCATGGGCCCTAAGGAACAGCCCTCCCCATCAGCCACTCAGTGTTTGAACAGGGAGGACCTGTTCTACCTGGGGCAGGACAGGAGCTGGTAAGGTCCTAGGTCTAGTTACTAGCTCCAAGCTCCCGATTCTCATGATCACAAAATGCTTTGGTATGGAGTAGGCAGTATCAAAGCCCATAGAGAATGAAACAGAATAATCCAGAATGAGTACTCCACAGGGCAGGTGTTTTTGTTTCTCTTTCATTACTCTATGCCCAGGGCCTAGAATAATGTCTGGTATCTATTAGTGTTCAGTAAACACTTGTGGAATGAAGGAAAATAGAATTTCTTTGGAGGACTGGCTTACTCAGCTCTGACATTCACTTTAGGAGGGTGGACACCTGACGGCATAGAGCAAGGAGACCTAGTGTCACAGGCCCTTGAGTTAGTAGGTCCTTTACTCAGGTTTCCAGCAGACTGCAGTGCCTCCAGGACCACACTGAGGGCTCCCCAGCCAGCAGCTGGATGTTCCCGGTGGCTCAGCCTGGTGACACCTGCTAACAGTTCTGAGCTGGAACTCATCCCCTCTCCTAGGAACATCTCAACCCTGCCTCTTCCTCCCTTGCCCATTTTTTTTCCCTTTCTGTTTCCTTTAAATTTTGCTGAAAATTACAGCTGGGAGGGACTTTGAGGATCACCAGGTTCAGCCTAGTTATTTTACAAAGGACCTGAGGGAAAGGGAAGGAGGGAGAAAAGTAGGAGGGCTTGGGTGTGAGAGAGAAGCTCCCACTTATGCTCTCTCCTCTCTCTTCACTTCTCTGATTCCATCCCAAGATTGACTTCCCCACCTCAGCCTTTGATGTCAAGTTCACCAGCCCCTCCAGAGACAAGTTCAGCCCCCGCTATGAGTTTGGCAGCCTTCTGGAAGAAGACCAACACAAGCTTAAAGACATCATGCAGAAGGAGTCCCTGTACTGGTAAGGCCCAGGGAATCCCCATATGTGGCTCAGTTCCCCCACTAGTCTATTATGTTCCTTCTGACTGTCTCTTATCACCCCCCCAAGCACCCAGTCCCTGCCCTTCTGCTTGGGGAGGGGAGGTGGCACAGGGCAGGCATTGCCACCTAGGCAGGAAGTAAGTAATGGAGCCCCTAGACCTTTCTCCATGGGGATAAGTGGAGAGGGCAGAGCAGGAAATGATATCTGAGCATGCCCAGACTTGACTACCAGAAGGACCAGAGCAGATATACTGCCCCCTACTTGCTGCCTATTGGGGCAGCTGGCTGTTGTCCTCATCTCCCTGTTCCCACCTCCTGCCCCTTCCATACCAACAGCCTTTGCAGTTTTCTGGCCTTGTCACTTTCCAAAAAGGATCAGGTGTCAGGGCAAGCTGTCAGCTCTCAGGGGTAAATGAGTCCAGGCTGATCTCATCCTTGAGGCTGCTGTGTTCACCAGGATTGGAGAAGGAGGGGTGAGAAGGGAGAGCTGGGGAACTGATAGGGTCAGAGCTCCTCCCCTGCCTGCCCTCCTCATGCACCTCTCTGACTCTGCATAACCCTGTGCACATGGGGACCAAGAGAACCATGGGGACATGGCTCATCCATGTTACTCAGGGTGCAGACCTTCTCTGTCCTCACCCCTCTGCTGACCCCTCACTTCATTAGCCCCTCAGCTCCCTTCGCCCATTAGACACCTGATCTCAGTCAAGGCTAATTAGCCACAGGCCCTATACAATCAACAGCTGGCCCCAGGATGCCTCAGGAGGCCTCTCAGATGCCCTCTGGTGGCTGTATTTGTGTGTGGTGCTCTCAGGGTATCCCCAAGGGGTAGCAGATTTGGTGCCTTTGGCCCATGGAGTCTACCTTTGAGATGTCCCTGAGTCAGAAGCAAACCCTGCTTCTCAAACTTTGCTTCACGTTAACATTTATTTTAAAAATACCCAGCGCTTGGCTTCCACAGACACTCTTAACTCAGTTGGCATTGAGTGTGATCTGAGCACAGGGACATCACTAAGTCCCTTGGTGGCTATAATATGCAGCAGAGGTGGGGAACCATGCACGATAGTGTGTGCAGCATTCCTGCGGAGCCCAAGCTCTCCACCCTCTGGCTGACTCTGCCCTGTCCCCTGCCCCCCAGGCTCACTGATGCTGACAAGAAGCGCCTGTGGGAGAAGCGGTATTACTGCCACTCACAGGTGAGCTCACTCCCCCTGGTGCTCGCCAGCGCCCCCAGCTGGGAGTGGGCTTGCCTGCCAGACATCTATGCCCTCCTGAAGCAGTGGACCCACATGAACCACCAGGATGCCCTGGGGCTCCTGCATGCCACGTGAGTTGTAGCACCCACTTGTCCCCACCTCAGCACTGCCCATCAGTGACCCAGGTAGCCCTGGGTAAGATATGAAGTGGGCATGGCTATTCAGGGCTTTCCTTTTTTTTTTTTTTTTTCATATTGAGACTTGAACT